TATAAATTACAATATTTAATTAATATAAATTATAATATTTTTTAAGAAAATTAAAAATATTTTTTTAAATATTATACCCTGCCATGAGCAGTTACTGCCCAAACTATTAAACATCCGGGATTACCACCAGGTATTTGATTTCCACCCACAGATATATCAATAAAAGGTTCCTAAAAATATGTTAATAAATTTTGTAAATAACTAAATGTTTTTGAAAATCATTTAGTTTAAAAATTTAAAAACTTACTTTAGTTGCATCTTTATGAAGAGGTGCAATAGCACACCATGAATTCATAGCACTATATCTCCTATATCGAACCCATTTCCTTCTTCTAACACAAGATTTCCATTGTTTTTTTGTTGTATATGTAGCTGGAAAATCAACTGCATATGTCCATCCCTACCAAAATATCAGATTCTCTGTCATCATAACACTTTGTTTGTTTTTGTCGATGTTGACAACTGATAACAAATCTACATATAAACAGAAAGTCATAAAAAATGTAACAAAGATGAACTGAAAAATGAATTAATCCATTATTAACTCATTGATAACTATAACCATATGTAATTGCTGTTATTAATATAAAAATTAATAAATTAAGAAAAATTAAGAAATATAAAATAATAAAAAAATTTTAAATGAATAAAATATTTTTTAATGAAATAGAAGAAATAATAGATTAATTATAAATAGTTTAATTGCTATAACAAAAATTTTATTGCATTTACATCATGATCTAATGGTTGGCCATCCAATGTAGTTTCTATTTGCCAATCACCTTCCCATTGCCAAGCCATAGATGGTAATTTTACTTTATCTCTGCTACGGTCAACTGTACCATCTTGATCAGAAAAATTATACCTATCTGTAGGTAATAATCTTCCACTAAATCCTTCTAAAGGAAGCCAACGCTATAAATATTATTTTCTCTTAAAATCTGTATAAAAGTTACATATATAAATAACTATGATTATAATCATTTTCAAATATATTTTAAACATACTTCATTTTCGTATATTTCTTCCTTGATTCTTATAGGTACATCTAAACCATGTACATGTACATAAACTTGACGATCACCACCTATAGCCCACATGAAATGTGGTACTGCTGATAATTGTTTAAACTCAAGACCCAAGTACATGAATTCTCTCCACATGTTTCCAGATGTTGACAATCCAAATACACGCCCCTCATTATTTATAGCATATAAGTATGAGCTTGGCATTTTAACACTTTAATAAACAGTTTAATTTTTCTATAAAATAATATTTATATTCATAATAATGGAATTATATTTTCCATCCTATCATTAGATTATTGTGTAAATAAGTACTGATAATGATAATCTTTATATCGATGATTCACGTTTATAACAAATATTTAAATATATAAAGGTAAATATTTTTAGATATTTAAAAAAAAATATAAGTTTTTTTTTCTAATTTTCTATTAATAATGACATACATATTTTTTACAAAAATATAAAATAATAATCGCGAAAAAATGATTTTGGTTATGTAAAATATTTATATTTTACATTTTATTAATATAACACATTATTATTATGTATAAAAATGTTAAAACACAAAAACTATTAAATTATTAAATTTTAATACAAAAATTTAAACGTAAGTATAAATTGTTAATCAAAAAATAAAGAACATGTTTTGACGATACATAACCAACTGTCATTTACTGTCACTGTCACTTAAAAATGTGAATATAGATAAATTTATCTCACATTAAAAAAAATTACTATTTTAAAAATTAAAATATTAATAAATGTAATTAATGTTTTCAGAAATTATTTGTGCGTCATATAATAATATATGTATATAAAATATAAATATTGTAATAATATAATTTTATTTTTACTTAAATTATATATAATTAAATGTGGTAACACTGCTTTTTAAATTCACTTTTTGTGATTAAATTTTAAAAAAAGATATTAAAATTTTTTATTTTCTCTATGCATTTTTATGGATTTTATCATAAATCTGAAAATATTCATTTTAGCATTGAAATTTAATGATTTAAAATTATTTGCAAAATTGCAAATTTTTAAAAATTTTTGCGAGTCATATGACGCCATGTTATTTATATTATTTATATTATAATTGAATGATAATAGAAATACTAAAACATATCAAGTTTAAATTACCTTTTAAATAAAAAATTTAAATTATATTATAATTTAAATTCAAATCTAAATTGATCTTTAAGTCGTATATATTTATAGATATACATAGAAATGTATAAGTCAAATTAAAGCAAAGAGAAAATGAAATATTTGCAGGCAAAAAAATAATTCAAAATGGTGGATATTGCATCTGATAAATAAAACTATAAATTTTCAGAGTCTAACATCATACTCTTATTTAAAATAAAAGAAAATAAAAAACTAAATAAAAAAAAAACATAATGCTATCATTACGGAATGCGTAGTACTTTTTTTAAATTAATTTTTTTCTGTTTAAAAGTATGATATCAGGTTCTAAAAATCTGAAACTTTGTCTAATAAAACTATATTAAGCATGTTGCAAATAATTATGTGTAAGATTATATATTTGTTTGTGAATTAAAAATTAATTTAAATTATTATTAATAACAATGAAAATATATTGCATTAAAAATAACAAAATAATAAAAGTAATACTAATTTAAATCCAAAATCCTACTAAAGTAAAAAGATTTTCTTAAACTTTTGTTCATTAAAAATATACAATTATACATTTTATAATATTCTATTTCATTCTCGAATTAAATTTATTAACGTTATTTTATTTTAAATAATTTTAAATAATTATGATTAAATAATTTTTCTTTAATTTGTATATTGTTATTATTTTTTTAAATAAATTATATGAAAATAATTACAGATCGAATATTATCAACATCTTAATTAAAATTTAATTTTTTCGAAATAATGATTTTTAAGATGCACATTATAATAAATATTATTTAAAATTATAAAAATAAAATAAAAATCAATAAAGAATAAAATATATATTGCAGATTTAACAATGATTAAATTGCAATAATGTATAATAATATAAATATTAATACATTGCTTTGAAAGTAAGAATTTTCATCTTTATTTTGTTTATATAACATCATATAGATAATTTTATCTTTAAATTGAAGCAATTATCTTAAGTTATGTTTATAAATATACAGGAAAAAATATTCATAATGACCAAGATTAGGAATATTGAGAATTTAAGATCATTCACAAAATAAATGTGAGATAGAAGACAATATGTTACATGTTACATTTTTACTTATTGTTTAGACAAATGTTTATAATTAATATTCTTATTAATCATATATATTAGAGCAATATATTTTAAATATATTTTGAACTATTATATAACTATATATATTTTATAGCTATATATATTTTATATATATATATATTTATATTTTAATTAATATTTAATATAATAACAATCAAATTAATAATTATTAATATCTTTCTTATATAACAATTATTAAGATAAAATATTTTAATTATAAATTTTAATTTACAAATTTTTTTAAAAATAAATATTAATACAAATAAGTTCTTTCATCATTATCTTTTTTTTCAAATTCAAGATTTCATTATATAAATCAGGTACAAGATTACATCTCAAAATATTCACTCTTATTTTCTATAATCTTTTCTGGTAAATTATAAATTCCATCTCTGAAAAATGACAGCTATTTGCTGGTTATGAAGTCATCAATAAATTTTCGGATATTTTCTTCCAAGTTAAAGGCTTCCCTGACAATTAATATTGCAGACTTCGAAAAAGATAACAGTCTGACAAGGCCAGAGAAAGTATGCTGCATTTAGCAGGATTTCCCATCTCAATGCATAAATTGTGTCCCATGTTTTTTTTCCATGTATATTGTCGTGCTGCAAAATCACATATCTTGTTCCTGATCTGATAAATAGCTTTATTCTAGCTAATATATATTCTAGCTAGTATAATAAATAGTTTTTGTTCTAGCTAGTCATATAAATTCATTAATTGATTTTGATGAATATTTGGCAGTTATTGTCCTTCCTGGTAAATTTATAATGATTATTATATAATTTATTATTATGTTTTAATGTTAATTTAATTTATAACGAATGATTTCTTGGAAATCTCACCATATAGATACCATATAAACTTTTTTACAATCCAAGTTCGGTTTTACTTCGATTTTGCAAGCCACTGAAATCGTTGGTTACCCGGGATTAACCCATAATTTCCGTTGTTTGGGATTGTCATATAAAACCCATTTTTCATCGCCAATAACAATTTTGTGCAGAAAACTTTTCCTTTTATGCTGTGAAAAGCAGCAGAAATCTGTTTTTCCTATATTATTTATATTATTTCTTATATTATTTCGTTTAATTCATGTAGGCCTCCTTTATCGTCCGAACTTCTGAATCTCACCCAATTATTTCAGTCGAATACTGCTTGTCTGGTAATTCCCAATCTTTTTGCGTCTGGGTCGGATTTTCGTTAAACAATTCCTCTAACTCATCGTCATCAAACTTTCTCGATGCACCTGAATAATCATTATCTTTTAAGTTAAAATTTCCAGTTTTAAATCTTTAATACCACTTTTTGCATGTTCTGTAAAATATAACATTTTCTCCCAGTGCTGCATTATAGTAGCTTCAATAGCTGATTTCCTAAGTTGGAATGCAAAAAATAAGAAGTGATAAAAATGACGCTTCTCGCCATATTGTTTGAAATTGTTGCATAGGATTGGAAATTCTTAGAGCGTTCATCACTCTTCTTAAAAATAAAAGAACGCTTTTATAGATGGCACCACAACAAACGAGAACTAATTCGAATTCACTCAGAAGTTATAATCGTAGAAAAAAAGGGGAAGGAACTTATTTGCACACCTAATAAAATATTCAAATCTGTAATAAAATAATTATTTTAATTTTATAGAATAAAACTTGTAATATAATTTAATAAATTAGAATAGAAATGCATTATAGATTTATACTAATAGTTTACATTATCATTTCTATACATTAAATTTTGTTTCTATGAAAATTTAATTATGTTTTATATTCAAAAAATAATTCTATGAAAACATGACTTACAAAAGAATTTAGTTGCACGTGCACGGTATCAGATACAACTACTAACTACTAAGTAGCGAAATATATAGGTTATTAATCGCATTTTATATATTTAAATTTATTTATATTTTATAATTTTTTTTAATTTATAAATATTTAAAAAAATGGTTGTATTTACTTGTAATAATTGTGGTGAAACATTACAAAAACCAAAAGTTGCAAAACACTATGAATTTCGATGCCACACCGCGCCTTTTTTAACATGTGTCGATTGTTTGAAAGATTTCAGGTAAATATTAATAAAAATATGTATATTTTTATTTTTTTTATAATTTCTAATTAAATTATATTTTTATTATTATGTAAAGAGGTGATCAATATGTAGCACATACGAAATGTATAAGTGAAGCTGAAAGATACGGGGGTAAGGATTATGTTCCGAAAGCTGGAGCAAATAAAGGTGAAAGAAAGCAACAGAAATGGATTGACACAGTTAATAATATTCTCAATAATGAAACAAATTTATCAAAAACAGAACGAAATTTTTTAAATTTATTATCAAAGCATGAAAATATTCCACGTAAAAAAGTTAAATTTTTAAATTTTGTAAAAAGTGCTCTAGGTCAGAAAATACCATCAGTAGTAGTTGATAGTGTATGGAATAAAATAGAAACAGCTTATAAAAATAATGTACAAGATATTAATAGTGAAAAACAACAACAAGAAAATGGTAAGTTTTTGTTACTCAATTTAATATTTATTTAATTTAAATTATAAATTTTTGATATACATATATAATATGTATTTATTTATATTTTATGATAAACATAAATAGGTAAAATGAGTGAAAAAATAAATAATGTACAAGATACAAGTATATATCAAGAAAATAATATTATTGAGAATCAAAATAATGAAAATATAGACAGAGAAAATCAAAATGAAGATCAAAATAAAAATAATTTAAACAACAGTGAAAATGGTATTGATAATGATACTATCAATAATGCTAAGAAAAAGAAACTTAAAAAGAGAAGAATGTCTGAAACAATACAAGAACAAGAAGAATTTGTAAAAAAAAAAAGCAAACAGGATGTAGAATTTACAAAAGAATCAGTTTCTAAAAAAAAAAGCAAAGATATTGCTGTAGAAAAGTTAGATGAGATAAAAAAAAATAAAAATACTTTGCTATTTGAATCATCGATTAATCAATGTGATAATATTATAAAGAAAACTTTCAATTGGAAAAATGTTATTTTAGACATAGTAAAAAACAAAGGAGAAATTTCCTTAAAAAAATTACAGAAAAAAGTAATTTCACAATATATGAATTCCTGTTCAAATATTATATCATATGAAAAAGCATGTAGTAAATTCAACAAAAAATTAAAAAAAATATCAGAAATTATCATTTCTGATGAAAAAGTAACCTTAATTTAATTTAATTGATATGTATTAGTTTATAATTTTTCAATATACAATATTATAATAATATATAATATTACTAATGATTTATCATTGTTGTAATAAAAAATTAGAAATCATCTTTATTCAAATGAAAAAAATTTTATAAAATACTATTAAATAAAATATACATATGAAAAACATTTATTATTTTTTTTTATTAAAATAAACAAAAATTTTTGAAAATATCACAGAATATATGTAAAATTAATTTATCAATAATAGATATTTTAAATATATAAAATATAATTATTATAGTATATAACAGTAATTTTTTTACAATAAAAAATTATTCTGTGAAACACATTCATTTGAAAATACTTCAAAACAAAATTAAATATAGAACTTGTAAATAAATATTTTTATGAATTGTATTTTGATATCAAATTTTTAAGATATGTATAATCTTTACAATTTTTTAATGAAAAAATTGATATTGAAATATGATTTAAAAGTCAATAATAAAATTTAGAGATTTAATGTTTATATTAAATGTTTGAAAATTTATCTAAATACCAAACATGATTACTCATAGTAGCTAAAAGACCCCATGTAAGTTCTTTAGAATCATGAGGTCTAAAACTTATCAATTGTTGATCAAACAATTGAGTAACTGTACCACCAAGAGCAGTAAGAATTGCAGTTCCTGCACAAATGTCCCATTTTTTTATTGCAGTCATATGGACATATGCAGTTACATTTCCACTTAAAACTTCTAAAAATTTGTAACCTAAACATATATAAATTTATTTCTAATAAAAAAATTTAATTCTTTCTTTTTTATAAGTGAGATTTTTATAATAACAAATATTAAATAATAATATTAATAAAATTACCTGCACCAGCTGCAGGAACAATTTTTACATCTTTACCAAATGCAATCTTAGAAACATTATAAATTTGGCCAGCATGTGATTGTGATACAATCAATATTGGTATTCTTTCATCTTCTAACTAATTTTAAAAACATTTTTAAATTTTGAAGAATTTACATATTTTTCTTGTAATATTTTTGTATTTATTACCTTATGCAGTATTTGTAAATTTTTTGAAATTGCATGATTAGTCCATGACCAAAATAGACTAGAATTTTGCTTTGTTTCAAATGGTTTATATATAACACCTATTATAGGTTTTCCTTTTACAGCAATACAAACCATAGTTGTAACATATTGTAACAAATTTTCTAAAATGAAAAAAAATAATATATGATATAAGAAACATATATATATATATATATATTTATATATTTTTTTATACAATAATGAAAATACCTGTAAATTCTTTTGTTGCATCAAGGGGATCAATCCAGACTGTAATGTCATTTATATTTATAATTTCATCCTTAATATCATAATCATTTAAATTATTAATATTATTTTTTATATTTGACACTGTAATTTTATCACAATTTTTTGATGTTTCCTCTGATATTACTGTTATACTTGGAAATGTTTCTAATAAAGAATGGACCATTGCACAGTGTGATCTATAATCTGCTTCTGTTACTGGATCATTTATACCTATCAAGGTTAAAAAACTAAATTATTTATATAACATTATATATAATATTACATTTTATATTTTATAATATGAATTTTATTATAAATATATGTTCTATTAATATCATTTATATATAAAGTTTTTATTTCATATACATAAATATGAAATACACATATTTCATGTATTCTAAAAAATGTAAATATTTAATATAAATCATTACCTTCTTTCGTTTTTCCTTTACTTTGTATTTCGAATTTTGCTTGATTGTGAACTGCAATTACTTCAGAACCACCAATTTCTGCTGCTTTTATAGCAGCAGTAAGAAGTAACTTTAAAGAAATATTTTTATTCTGTAAATCTGTATATAAAGTTCGATTTGTATATAGGTATAATACACTTAATAATATAATAATTCCACAAAAAATTGTTTTTCTTGTTCGGACACTCATTTTGATATGTACAATACAATTCTTTCTTTTTTTAATTTAATGTATTCGCGTAATTATGATTTATTTTATATAATGAAACATTTTAATTATTCCATATGCGGCCATTTTTAATTTATTTGAAATTTCCAATAATATTGAATCTTTATGTTCTATGTATGTATAAAATTGACATTGAACCTGAAAATTATACGCCACCTGTAATTTTTTTTTGTATTTTATTATATGTTTTATAAATGTTAATAAGATTATATATGTTTATAAAATTATCATTGTAATTATATTGAATTATTCTATGTAAAATAATTAATTTTTTAATATATATTTTGTAATAACTTCGTTATTAAGGTTATATTTGATTAGTAAATATATTGCAAATTTAAATTATTAGCGTAGTATTATTTGCAAATAAATTTAAATTTTTGAATTTTTTTAATAAATAAGTCAAATTGAAGGAAAATTAAGTTACAATAAATTTATTATTGAATCAATAATTTATTTTAAAATGTATCGCACTTTTAACGATGTATTAAATACAAACTTTTTATATCATATTTCTTATTTTAAATATTTTGTCATGTATATTATTTTAAATATATAGCTTTATATAATGTTAAATTGATTTTAATTAAATTTTATTCAGATTTTTATGTAATTGTATTAATGCAATTAGAATTTCTGCAATAAATTTCTAATATCATTAAATTGATATATTTTTACACATTATTCTATAAAAGGATGAATTTTATTGATCAATAATAATACATTTCAGAGTTTTAATGATATTATGTGCAACGTAGTTGATTTAAAATATTTTGATTTAAAAAATAGTGATTAACATCTTGATTGCTTCCAAAAACGATTGTGTAGAATTAAATAATACTATACATTCAAATTGTATGTACTTGTTTATAATTAATTTAGATTGCACACTATAATATTCAAAATTAAAATAATTACTTATATTTTTACCTAAGTAAATAATACAGTGAGAGATGAATATTAAATAACACAATAACAAATGTAATAACATTTTATATCTTTAATGATACTATTTTAATAGTGATTACTGCAATATATTAATTTGATATCATCTTAAAGTGCACTTTCTACACAAATAATGAAACATTTTCTTTGCTTATTAATATCATATGTGCACTTTTCTTGGCTGCATTTTTATATTTTATAATTTATGCTTTTTCTATTTAATTGAGTGAGATAATATGTATCTTTTATAATAACAATAATAATTTAATTTCATAACTCACACATTTTACATCACTTTTTTATTATAATAATAAGTGAAATGCAGCCTTTGCTTTTTTGTTTTCTAACTTATGCACCTAATTCTTTAAATATATGATAAAGTTAATTCAGCAATTTTATCTATGAAATTTTAGTAATTACTTTAAGACACAAAAACTGTCACTCCACTTGGTCCAGCTATAACTGCACATAGACAAGTTGTTTATAGCTTTCGCAGTTGCTGTTACACATTGTCATCTATTTAAAACATAATAAAAAATGCTATATGATTTTTGTAGCACTTATTAAAATATTTATTAAATAATTTAAGAATTATTTAATTATATGTTAAAAATAATTCTAAATATAGTAATAATATATTGATTATATATATTATAGAATACTTACCATGATACCACCATTTTGTTTTCTTTGGATTTTTACTACATGTTTTTACATAAAAAGAATTATCAGGTGGCCTTTTCTGTAGTAAAAAAATTTTTTAAATATTTTTTATTATTATTATTTATTATTAACTATTATTTTTTTATTAGATTTATTCTTAGGAATTTTTTTTACCTTCTCTTTACAACTACTCAACATTGATACAATACTTAAACAAATGCTTTGTACACTCAAAGCTGGAGACCAATCTTCAGTTAAAATGGATAAGCATATGTGCCCATTGCTGTAAATATGTGGATGTATTGGTATATTTCCACCTATAAAAGTCACTTCTGGTGAGTCAAATGGATATTTGGAACTGAATCTAAATTGCAGTTGAAATTGTTCGCCTTCATATAAGGTGCCTTTTGCACCTTCCATGTGAACAATCCATTGTGTTAAATTTTGACTAGTAAGATCTTCATCTACATGTACACCTGGTGGAGGTTCACGTATTAAAGATGTTAATTCTTTCTGTAATCTTCTCTGAAATAATATTTTTTAAATATATAATCAAACTATAAAATTTTAATAATGTTAAAATTATATAAATGTAATAATGTTTTAATTATATAAGTATAATAATTATAAAAATATATTTCAAAAGAATTATTTAAAATTAACATTTTCATTTTAATATTGAAATTTAATTACAAAGTTTATCGAATACAAATTATTATATTTATATTATAATAACATCTCAAAATTTTTATATAATTTTCATATTATAAAAAAAAATTGTATTTTAATTAATATGTATGATATATTTATATAGATTATCATAAATATTAATATAAATAATAGATGAATATAAATAAGAATTATATATATATGTATATTAACATACTGAATAATTCTTAAAAAATGTAATTGTGAAAAATAAAATTTTTACTATTTTTTAAAATTATATTATAGAAACAAAATAAAAAAATGAAATTAAAATTTAATACATATATAAAATAGCGCGTCTAATTTGACATAAAACGTCATCCAAATTTTGACGAATAATATGCGAATTATCTTTTTAATAATATATAATATTTTGCGAATCTTGTAAAACATACTAAATATAGAATCTAATTAACTTCCATATTATATCAATGTTATAAAACAGAGAATTTTTATATGTATTAAGAAAATTTTATTATTAACTTACCTTCGATGGGGACATTGCCGCCATTGTCGTTTTATCGCTCATTGCAACATACATGAATTACTTGCTTTATTCATTTCTCGATTTAAGAATGTAAAGTTGCTGCAACAAGAACGTTTAGCATTTTTTCCAAATTTTGTATTATATCATCATAAGTTAAAAAAAGAGGTAGTAAGATAGTCGTAAAATACGTAGCGATGACCTACGTAAATTAGTTAAATTTGACAACCATTCCCACATACTGAGGCGAACACACAATATAGGATAATATTGCTATATTATGGTCAGTAAATATTTTATTAAAATGCATTATCGACGATGATTTTATAAACTTGATTATTGTTTAAATTAAATAGTCAAAAATCAATGTTTTTTGTTCAAGACTTTATAATAGTGTATAAATAAAAATTTATATAAAGAAAACTAATTATATATAATATAAACTAAAATGAATAGACAAATAAGTGTTTTAATTTCTTATTTCATTTTTTTTAATTGTTACTTGAAGTTTATGTAAACAATAAGACAATAAAACAAATATTATAAAAAGTCAAAGGAAACTTGTAATTTTTAATATTTTTCATTTATATCAATTTGTAATTATTTTAATTGTATCAATATTAATCGATATTGGACATTATCTAAATAACCAATAGAAAAAATCGATTATATTGCAGATCTTATATATTATTTATATGTTATAGTATAATATAAAAATAATCAAAAATACAGGTGTTATAAATTTTATGAAATTATTATAAATAAAATAAATAATTTATTATCTTTTATTAATTTTACAAACAATTTATGATTGTGTTACAGCCTACAATAAAATGATGAAGTTCAATATTAAATCATTTCAATTATGATGTAATATTTGTTAAAAAACTTCTATTTATGAATTATATATATATTTAGGTAAATATTTTTATATAACTATTAGCTATATAATATATAAGTGAAATATATGAATAATTAGAATATTAATATTTTTATTCCTTAATGCAATACTTAATTTAAATATTAATTATTATTTTTATAAAATGTACTGTTTTATTATGAAAAAAAAATTTTTAGCTTCAATGTAAGGAAATGATAAATTATTAATGACTTCAGCCGAACATTTTATTAGTTTAATTACTGTGGCAAGTGCTAAGAAATTAGCCACTGCACTTGTCTTGTGTTTTATTTTATATCATGGATTAATGCACATTATATATGGTAAAAATACTTATACTTTTTAACTTTGTTTATTTGACTTGTATAAATTATGTATATATACTTATATAAACATTAATAATATAAACTATGTGTTAAATATTTATCTTTATTTTTAAATTTTTAAATTTATATTATATATTTAATAATTATAATTAATTTAGGTAGTGACTCTTGTAAATGGTTATTAACAGAAGGAAGATATAAAGGAGATAAAGAATGGCAGCCTTATGGTTGTATGATGCATTATTATACACAAACGTAAGAATTTAAATTATTTAAATATTACAATGTAAAAAAATATTTAAAAAAAATTTTTTTTTCTTTAGAGACAGTCGCAGATGTTTGAGATATCTAGCTTTCATGGGCCACCATAATCACTTTGTATTTATTGGAGATGTTAGAATCAGACAATTATATAAGTCTTTTATATCACAATTTATAGTTGATGGGAAAGCATCTGATTTAACAGAATTACCAGAAAATTCTGATTTAAATTTCAATGATGCACAACTTAGATTAAATGTACAATTTTTGTGGAGACCTCAATTGGATAATACTATGATAGAAGATCTTAGAAGTTGGATGGTAAATATCATTTAATTATAAAAATATTTATAAAAATTTTAGAATTATATATACAATGATTGATTATTAATAATGATTGTAATAATGATATTGATAACTGATATCAATGACTGTTATTTTTCAGAAAACTGATGCACCTAGTTTAATTATTTCAGGCTGTGGAGCAATGACAATTCTTGCTAATAATAATAGTGACACTCAATTGTACTCTGAATATAGTATGGGATTAGTGAGACTTGTACAACCAGTAGACTTTTTAGCCAAAAAAAATACAAAATATTTATGGATGTTGCAAGATCCTGTAGTAAAAGAAAGACTGCCAGCTCAATTATCAGGCATAGATAATAGACAGATCAATTTATGTAATAAAGCAGCAATAAAGGTAGATTTTATTTTATTAATTTTTTGATAATTATTGAAAAAAAAATTATTAAAATATATTGATCATACACAGATACTATCTCATAGTGAGGTTCATATATGGGAAAGTAGTAAACTTGTTGGTGCAGGTGTATTGGAACAAAGTCCAGATGGATATTTAGCTAGTCCTTTGTCTTTGCGACATAAGATTCAAATATTGTTAAACACTTACTGCAATGATCATATGAATTTTGATGATGGAAGTTGTTGCAGTTATCCAGAACCAGCAACAATATTGCAATTATTAAGTTTGTCAACACTTGCTTTATGGTAACTTTTTATATATTAAAATATTACATATTAAGTAAATAATAAATAATAGTTCATTATAGCATAATAATTGGTGGTGGAATGTGGTTGTATAGAAAGTTTTGTTATTATCGAACTGAAATTTCTTACTTACGTATTGAAATGGAAAATACTGAAGAAGCAAATAATTCTGAAACTATACAAATTGAGCAACCTGAAGTACAAGATTTTTATACTTTGATGACATCTTTGGCTCTCTTGTCAATTATTTTATCTTACTTTTATTTATGTGATAGGTAAATATATTTATGTTAATAATAATAATATTTGTTAATAATGTTAGATTTTTGTTTATATTTAGGACAAATTTCTTCATGAAAGAAAATAAATACTATAGTGAATTTAGTTTTTGGTTGCCATTAGGATATATATTAGCTCTTGGTTTATTTTTTACTGAAGATAGAGAAAGAGGGCCAAGAACTTTAAATCGAGAACAAACAGATGAATGGAAAGGATTAATGCAAGCTGTAGTATTAATTTATCATGTCACTGGAGCTAAAAATGTCTTACCTATTTATATGTATTTAAGATTAATTAATTCTGCTTACTTATTTCTTTCTGGATACGGACATTTTTGTTACTTTTGGCAAACGGGTGATGTTTCTTTAATAAGATTTGCACGAGTATGTATTAAAAAAATCTAGATTTTATTAATATTAATCCTGCAATGACTAACATTTTCTATAACTTTAATTATAGAAAAGATATTTTTATTATTGCGAAATTATTATATATATGTATAAATTTATAAAATATTTTTTTAATTTGATCTGAAAAACTTCAATATATAATTTGATAAAAAAATATACCATTGCAGAGTTAACAACAAATATTGTGTTTAAGTTACATATTATATATATTATATTTATTATTTTGCAGGTAATGTTTAGATTAAACTTTCTAACTGTATCTTTATGTCTTTGTATGAACAGACCATATCAGTTTTATCACTTTGTTCCTTTAGTCTCATTTTGGTTTCTAGTAATTTATTTCTTAGCATGGTTACCACCAAGAATATATTCTGGTAGTTTAAATGAATATGGACCAAGAGCTTTACTTTATCTTGCATTGAAACTTTTAGGTCTTGTATCAATGATCACAATATTATACATGTCAGAGGTATTAAATTATAATTTATTTACATATAAAGTATACTAACAAATACAAATAACAAATAAAATATACAATATATTATTATTTAATAGGTATTTTTTGAAAAAGTATTTGTAACAAGACCTTGGAAAGCATTATTTGTTACAACTGATGATGATATACGTGAATGGTGGTCACGTTGGAGAGTGGATAGATATAGTGTGACTTGGGGAGTAACTTTTGGGGCAGGTCTTGTAGCTTTACAAAGAATAGATCACATTCCAGGAACTGCGTTATCTTCTCTATTAGCATTAATTTCTTTAACTGCTTATACTACTTTTACAATATTATGTCATTCAGTATCTGAATGTGAAGAAATTCACTCATATGTTGCATTTATTCCAGTAATAATTTATAAATTATAATTTATTTTCAAATTTATTTTCAAATAATTAAATTTCAATTTTTTAATTACAGATTATAGGTTACATTGCACTTAGAAATGCATCATTAGCATTACGTGGTAAACATTCAGCTCTTTTGACTGGTTTAGGTCGCATCAGCTTAGAAACTCTAGTCGCACAAGGTCACATTTGGTTGGCAGCAGATTCGCATGGTGTATTAGTTTTATTGCCAAGATTTCCAGTATTAAATCTTTTAGTTACATCATTTATCTTTATATGTGCAAGTCACGAAGTAAGTATTTAATTTCTTTTATATGTCTAGAATTAATAACAAATTTATATCTAATTTTATATAATGTAAATATTGTATTATATGGTATAGTATGAAGTATTTCATTTATTTTGATAGATACATAGATTAACTCAAGTATTAGCACCATATGCAGTACCAAATGATTGGAGACTAGTGGCTCGCAATTTATTATTATTTATTGCAGTTCTTGTACCAATTGGCATTCATGATGGAATGTTTTGAAATATATGTTTTTATAATTAGTCAAATTCTATATATAAAAAAATGCTTCGTGTATATGTAAGTATATATAAAGTATTTTACAATATAATTTTGCAAAATGAAATTCACAAAAAATTATTATAAAAAATGTACAAACTAATTTTTTTATAGATTACGAACATGTTTCTAATATTGCTGATAATTTTTTCAAGCATTAAAACTTTATATCTATGAAGCAAAATTAAAGAATAATTACATATTTTTTCTTAAAAAAATAATAAATAATATGTCAAACTAAATTATATTTTGATTCTCCAGAAAATAAAAATGTTCACAAATTTAATTAATGAAGACAATAAGCGCAAATATCATTTCTATAATTTAAAAATTATTTTGACAAATTTCTTCAGAGAGATATATTTTTTAAACTTTAAAATAATCTTTGTTAGAATTGAAGCAATAATAAACAAATATCTATTTACTCTAGATTTTTGAATGTTTGTTTTTTAAATACAAATATTTGTCATTTAAATCAATACTAAGTTTTTATTGTATAATCATACCGCATCCTTTAAAATATAAAAACAAGATTCCAATGACAAAATATTATGTTAACAATTTATTATAATTACCTTATATTACCTTATATATTACAATTTATTATAATTACACTATATAAAATTATTGTAAATTAAGTTACTCAAATACTCCAGAATTCTAGACAATGAGAATAAATTTATCAGAAAAAACTTACAGGACATCTAATCTGATTTCATTTGTCAAAGATTCCATAAACTAAATGAAATAATTGTCAAAAAAATATCTGAATAATTTTATTTTAAATGAATAAATAAATATTAGTGAATTATTATAATTTTTAATAACTTAATAATAAATTTATAGATTATATTATATTATATATATATACTATATATTATACTATCTTATCATAAAACTTATGAAAAAAAATGTTTGAAAATACTTACTGTTTTACCTTGCATTCTGGCTATAGATTAAAACTGAAAGTTATCTTCCAAAATAGGGTTTATGTCAAGAATCCATCTGGATATAAGATAAAAAATATAGCAAATAGAGATACTTATATTTGTTTATGTTAAATAATAATAAGATTTATTAGAAGTTGTTAAATTTTATTTTTCAAGATAAAAAATAAAAATGATCAAAATAAAAAATCTAGTCAAAATGCAAGGTTTAAAATTATAATTTAATCTTTTTTTATTTTATTAATTTTTATAAAAAAAAATAATTTTAAAAAATGAAAAGAAATATCTTTTTGTTTTTGAAATATTATATAAATTTTTAAAATTTAAAACATAAGAACATTATAAGAACAATTTATACATATAAAAAGAATTAATAGCATAAAATCAGAAAGTACAACGAAAATTATAGTTGTTTGTAATAATAACAATATATATTATATATATTTAATTAGATATTTAATAGAGTCTATCTAGAAATAATTTGTCAATATTTACTATTTTTTGAATTATACATTAGATTATCATGTTTTACATGACTAGTATACACATCATAGCCAAGAGATATAGTATTATCATAAAGAACTCTATATTTAGTTGGTAAAAAATAAAAATTAAAAATTTGTGCTGGTGGCCAAATGATCCATTCTGCTATATATAATCTATATGCTTTCTTAATAATTTCATTTTTTAAATCTGACCAATTGCTTTTTTCTAAAAAACCTAATGTTAAAAAAAACATTGTAATGCAAAGTGGAGAACAGACTAATTGATCTATAAAAACTTTTTTCAAAACAATGTTAATTGTACGACCTGGCAACTTAGCATCTAAATATTTATACCAATAATGACAGACTATACCAATAGACATACCAGATATAGCCATGTTTTTTGTTCTATTTATACTCCATTTATCCCATTCACCCTATGAAAAAATGAATTATATTATAATTATATATATATAAATAATTATATTATATATATATATTATATAAATATAAGAATATTTTAATCTACAATAAAAATAAGAAAGTATTATATTGAAATAAATGTCCTAAATAATTACTTTTAATATCTCATAATATTGTTCTAATACATCTCCAATAGCAGAGAGAGAAATAGATATTGTGACATTAGTATAAAGTAAATGTTTAGGAGAAAATAACTTATTTTTGATTATAGATATTTTATTTACAATTAAATTTATATTTTTGGTAATGTTCATGATCTAAAAAAGAAAAAATAATGTCAATCATAATTATTAAGGTTATTTTGAGGTTAACAATTAGCTTAAAATAAAAAGTTTAGTTTATAACATATTAAATATGTTTGAATAAAATTAAAAGTTAAATATTATAAACTTGAAATATAATAACTTATAAATAATATAACACTAATATAACAGTCAAATATTTTTTGTTATTTAAAATGAAAAACATCATCTCTTACTTACTTGTGAAATAAAAATTTGATATTTGGAAAATATACAAATTTAATCGATGTTAAATATTTGTAACAATTTTACAAATTTTATTTTATTAAATTATTTAGTAAAATATAAGTAGATTTCATATAGATTTTAAACTTAATTTAATTTTTTTCTAAATATATTACATTATAATATATACATTATATATGTAATCGTACTATTTTCAATTTTTCCTTTGTAACATGTATTTTATAACTTTTATAGTAAAACTATTCAAATTCTTTATCTTATTATTATATTTCGAAACTTTTTCTTCAAAACTTTTTAAATAAATAAAGTTTTATATATTTGTACAACATAAAATTTTATTTATTTAAAAAATTTTTATTTACAATTTAATAATTCAAAATAATAATAGAATTTATATAAAATAATAAATAATATGAGGTGCTGTTTTCATTAAATAAGAATTAATAAATAATTTTAATATAATATTTAATAATAATAATTAATAATTTAAAAATATTAATTGTGTTGTAAATTTTAAAATTAAATTATTATATTTGATAATTATTTTTGGCATTCTAGCAGTTTTTATAAAATTTATAATAATATATATTTCAATACACATAATTATTAAAATTTTAATTTGTATATAAATATATAAATTATAAATAAATGAAATTATAATTAAATATGTATATATTTGTATATATGTAAATTGAAAGTAATAATATTTAAATTCCACATGCTTGTCATCCATTTTTTCTGATTTGGCGCCTAAACTGATAAAAGAGGCGGGATTTTACACAGTATTGGTGTTGATATAGGTAGCTGTTATGGCGATTTGAGACTTAATTGTAATTTATTAAAATTTTGAAAATCTTAACGGATTTCTTATATTACATACATATATATATATATATTCGTATATAAAAAGATGTCTCAACCATCAGTAACGGCGTATTTTAATACGCGTAAACGACAAGCAACTGACGATTTGCGAAGCAAGGCAAAGGTTTTGCTTCTTGATCAAGAACAATCGAAATTGGTGAGTAATCAAAATCGGACATCAATAAATAAGGATAATTCCGAATTATCCGGAACATTAATTTCGATTCAAGAAGAAAAAGCAATGGGCACAAGTCCGAAGGTTATTTTTGTATCTGGAAAAGAATCAGTGAATAATCATACTTTAAAATCAAATTCGGTTGTTCGGAATATTCAATTCGATTCTCCTAAATCAAATATTCAAAAAACACTTAAACATAATGTTCGTACTCGAGTCACACGTTCACGAAAATTATCTGGTCAAGAAGGACAGGTAGATATCAGAGAAAGTTTTCAAAAAATCGCAGAAGATTTAGATGAAAAGAAAGTATTGTTTGAAAAGAAAGGTGCATTAAGTCCAAAAAAGAAATTTCTAGGAACATCTAAAATAGATGATGCTACTAAAAATTCAACTACAAATATTTTAAATGATCAATTATCAATTAATTTCACAACACCAAAAAAAAGTTCTAATATGGATAATTTGGCAAAACAAGAGTTATCCCTTAATGAAATAAGAAATAAGATTAATAAGTCTTCTAGACTTATGGAATTAAAAGCTTCTATTGCACGTTTCAAGAATTGTGAACAAAGATTAGAACAATTTCATAAACAAAATGATATTAAACCGCAAATACAAAAGTTTGAAAAGATTCAACTTGAAATACCAATTAGGTAAGATCATGTTTTATGACTTAAATATCTACTTTTTTTGTTTTTTTTTTTTTTTTTGTTATAATATTTGTGTTATTTAGTCCACAGAAAGCACATAAATCTCCAATCAAAACAATATTAAGTCCTTTGAAAAATAAACAATTAATGAATGCCAGTCCTCAACGCAGAATTTTATTTGAACCTAAAGACACACCTCCTAGCCCAGTGAAAAGTAGTCCAATTAAAACACCAGCTTATCAACAATATTTATCACTTGCTGAAAGTGGCACTCCTGCTTTACCATTACCATATCATTATAGATTTTTGGCAGAGGCATTCAGATGTTTAGATACAGTAAGTATTATTTTGTACATAAAAAAATATATAAAAATATTTTTTGTAAATTTTTTATTATATATTATTTTATTAATTGTATAGATTTCTGCAATGCTGTTCAATCGTAAAGAAACAATAACTTTTAAAAAACTAAAACCTGCAATTCAAGAGTTATTGCGTAAAAATTTCACATTAGAACATCTAGCACAAATTAAAACTATTTATCCAGATGCATATAATTATTGTCAGGAAAAACATCATACATTTGGTTCAACATCCAAACAAGATAAATTTGAATTAATTCTTATACCTTTCGTTGAAGAAAAGGATGGAAGGAATACCCCAGATTCAGATGATGTTTTAAAAACAGCATCTGAAGCTAGTATGGGACCACGAATATTACTTGAAAGACGAAGAAGGTTTTATAATATCTTACTTGGTATTGAATTTATTTTTTTGAAAATATTTTTATATTTATTTATCATTTAACTTTATTTTATATTAACTTATGTTATTTTTCAATTGTAGATAAAGTAAAAGATGAACATGAAAAATTTTTACTTAGTTTGGAAACACCAATGCATGTACCAAAAGAAAAAATTGTTCGTTGGCATCCTGAATTTGATATAGAAAGTTGTAAACCAATTGAACAATCTGATTTACCTCAACCACCTCATGTTGAGAAAATTACAACTGCAAAAGATGTTCTTGGTAAAAATAGAAATAGAATATAAATTATGTCTTTTGTATATTTTAAAATTTAAATTAATTTTTATGAATTTTTTTAGATAAAGCAAAGTCATTATTCAATTGCGGCACTCGCATGGAAAAAGCATTGCAACGATTAGCAGAAGCAAAGATGACATCTAAAACTCTTTCTTCAGAAAAGAATGAAATAAACAATTCAACTCAAACAGAAGAGAATATAAGAAAGATTAATATTACTGTTGTGGATACTCCACCTATCACACCTACTGTACAAAACAATCATCTTAGCACAGCCCTTAAAGGCATACCAAAGGCTCTTCTTGAGAAAGTAAATATTTTCATTTTTGTCTCTCATTATATTAGTTTGTTTATATTTTAATAAAATAATTGTTACTATTTGTTAGGTTCGAGCTAAACAAGCTGCCAAAGCATTAGAAGCTATGACACGTACACCAAATGCTGAAAAAGAAGCTGTAATGTATTCAAGATTACCTGAATTAGTTAAAATTTTGCGTAATATTTTTGTAGCTGAAAAGAAAGGGATTTTGACATTGGAATTTGTAATTACAAAATTAGAAAACTCATTTAGAACAAAATTAACTTCTGCTGAACTGGAAGAACATATACGTCTATTGTGTAAACTATTACCCACATGGACTAGCATACATAATGTACGAAAAATAGATTATTTAAAATTACAAAAAGAAATCGATCTTGCAAAAATAGTAAAAAGATTAGAAATTATGGCTAATAATAAAGTAAAATCATCATGACATCTATTATAAAATGATTGATTTCATTCTTGCTTTAAATTATAATTGTGTTAATTGCATTAATTTATATATTTTAATTATAACAATTTCGTTCATATTTTGTAATATATTTGGTATTAATTATAATTATTCTATATTTTGAAAAAATTTTGTTTCAAGGAATAGTTTTGATTAAAAAAAATAAATTTCTTAATTGACAAATATATAATTTATAATAATAAACATAATAAATTATATTTTTATAAAAACAATAGTTATAAACAAATTTACTACAATACAGTTATAATACTATAAGTATTTACACATTATTATTATTTTTTTATTTTAGAAATCCATTAACTTACATATTGATTATTATTATTATTAAATCATTAGAAATTTTCAGAAATATGCATAAAATATTAGTTACATATTATAATCGAATTATTAAAACATTGTAATGTGAAACTGTTTATTAATTTCTTTTTCTTATACGAATGTCATAATGTTATATATAAAATAAAAAATAATATTAAAATTAAATAGTACCACAGATGAGGTACAAAATAAATTTAATATTCAATTCATTTTTTTATCCTATATCTTAAAAATATTGGAATATTTTTATATTTTTATTATTTTAATATTATTATTACTAATTTGAATTGGAATATTATTACAAAGTAATAATTGGAATTAAAATTACATTCGAATATAAAATTAAAAGTAAGAAATAGAATATCTATAAAATGGATATATAAATATATTGCATTATTTAATATGACTATATAATTATATATATTAATACATATATAATCATATATTGAAATAAGTAATTGTAAACAAAATCAAATAATTGATTATTCTATATTACTTTTTATAATTTTTTTATTACAAAAATTGCTTTTATTAAACGAAGATTAAATAAACTTTTATTTTAAAATTATTTTAAAATATTTTTAAAAATTATAGAAAATATTTATAATTTTTTTTATTTTATCATATTTTTATTTATAATTTATTTTAAAGTCAATATTTGTCTCAAATTGATTACAATTTATGAATTAATTAATTCATAAATTAATTCATGATGAAAATTGGATAATATATTTAGATTATATTTTTAAAAATAAATTTTTTTTTTAAATTTTTAAATTTAATATTTTTTCAAAATAATATCTATAATATTCTTTTCGAATATTTAATAATTTATATATGAAACAATTTCAAATTAAAGAATTAAATGCAAAGAAATATACAATAATATAGTATTAAGCATTAAATGTCTTGAATTATTTTGTAGACATTAATACATATTTTTTTAATAAAATGAAATCTAATCAATGAAACGAAACTTTATTGAAAATTATTTTCGAAATCTTATTATTTAATTTGACAAAAATTTTATAAAAGTTTTATTTTATGTAAAAACAATATTTGTAAGAAAAATTTTGCTGATTTAAAAGATTTTGCAAATTAATTACAATTTTTATCTGTAATATTGTAATAGCGCTGCTGACTAATTCCGTTATAAATCGATAATATTGTATTTGATGATTTGAGAAAAGTAAAAAGAGTTATATAGCTTTATAGCTCAAATTATATGATATAAAAATATATTTATAATTTATATTGAATAATAGATTTATTTTTTATATTTAATCTGTGGTATTCATGTCATTTAATATTAATAAAAAATATTATCTATAAAAAAAGAATATTTTATTTATCTACATTTGATAAATATAGATTGTTTTTCTAATTATTCAATAGATGGTATAATGGTATAAATTTCAGACATATTCTAACCTCTATTATTAAGTTGACTTATACTTACAGAAGATTTTCTGTGATATAAAAAAAATTATATATATATACATAAATATTTAAAATCATGTTTTTAACCAATATTTTATTAAAAAAAAATAAAAGCAAGTAAGTATAGATTAATTAATATATAATTTAATTTTAAAAATGAAAGTAAGGTTAGTTTGTATATAATGAAATGTTTATATCAATTTATATTAATATAACAATTTAATTTCAAAAACAAGCAATTCATCATAAAAACTGTTTTTTTCTGTATTCTCTTTTTTCTGTTCTATATATGTAATCATATATTTATATTTATTTAATATAATTGTATTATGAATGTATTATAAAATATAATAATATTATAATATACGTTTAATTTTCAGAAAAATTTTAGTATTAGTAGAAAGTATAGCAAGTGGTCACAAGCTTGTAAGAATTCGAGACAGAGTGGCTGATAAATTGGAAGAAATATATTTTGATCCTTATGGTAAGTTTATTTTGAAAATTTATAATTATGAATTTATTTATATCATATTAGCTTCATGAAATTGCATGTTTTAGTTCAAGCTAAAGTACTCTATCGAGAAATGAAGAAAATTAAAAGTTTATAAATGTTAATTTATAACATTTTAATGGGTGATTTTATATATATATATATATATAAAACAACATATAATTTATTTAATAAATATATATAAACGAAATTGTATAAATACTGTAATAAAATAATATTAAAATAACGAAAAATATAATTAATAATTAATATATTAATCTCTTTGAATTAATTTTTGATAAAAATGAGATCCTTTGATAAGAATAAGAATAACATCCTTTACAGAGTCAAGATAAAAAAAGAGTAGATATTATCGTAAATGGTTTTAATAGCGACGTATATCCGATATTTTGCTTGAATTACTTATCTAATATGCATATCGAAAAAAATAAGAAAGATTGGAAGAGAGAAGGGAAATAGAGGACCTTGAAATCGAGATTGGGGTAGGTTTCCTTTGATCCTTAACAAGGAACGCAAAGTTGTATTATTTCCACCTGGATTTCAAACGGTTGAAATTCACGAGGCGTGAAACAGTACTATTCTCTTTCTCTGTTTCACCCTTTTAAATCTCATTTTTTTTTCTTTGTTCTTTTTTGTTCGTTACTGCTTTTCGGCAATGTGAGAATACTGTGATATTTACTGATTGCTAATTTAATTTTTTTTAACAAATTATTGTAATAAAACAATGATTGCAATTTCAGAAACTATCTACTTCTCAAATCGTTTTTATCTTTTATGGTTGTACATATGGCAACTCCTGACATCTACATTTTTTTACTTTAAGTAATCTTCCTAAATTTTATCTTTATTTAAAAATTTTTATTTATTATATTTTATTTATATTTATCAAATATTTTTTTTAGTAGATAATATTTTTCTTCTTTAAAAATATTAAAATAAAATAATTTTTTCTGATATATA